AACAAACTAAAAAATAGTAACTTGTCAATCTTATGATCCTTAAACGCGTATTATGTATAAACCGAATAGATTACCATGGGTTTGACTACAGACAATTTCTAAAAATTTAACTGAAACAAGGATGAAACGTATTGTGAGTGATCATTCAGGTATGAATAACACTCTTCTTAAGGATATCGGTTAATATGGCTCTCCACATCTTCCTTTATTTCGTAGCTCTAAGCAAAGTTTGTTCTTCCCAGTCCGTGTTTTGTCATCCTTTGACACAACTAGTTAGTTTACTCATTCAAGTTTTATTGAAAGAATAACGTTGTTACATTTAGAATATTGCTAATGGTTTTATTACAGGAATACCCGGTAAAACAAAAATTAATGGATAGTCAGTGGTCAAGAATTCATGCAAGAGTTAGAATTTCTAATTATTTTTTTTTAAAGAAAATAACTGTAAAACAAAAGTGAATGGATTGTCAGGGGTCAGGAAAACTTGCACGTGCGAGAATTTCTCTTGAATTTATTATGGAATTGACTATAAAACAAAAATGAATGGATTGTCAGCGGTCAGGAAACCTTCAACGTGCTAGAATTTCTATAAAGTTTATTATAGAATTGACTATAAAACAAACATGAATGGATTGTCAGAGGTCAGGAAATCTTGCACGTGCTAGAATTTCTCAAAATTTTATTATAGATTTGATTATAAAACAAAAATGAATGGATTGTCAGAGCTCAGGAAATCATGCACGTGCTAGAATTTCTTTAAAGTTTATTAAAAAATTGACTATAAAACAAAAATGAATGGATTGTCAGAGGTCGGGAAATCTTGCACGTGCTAGAATTCCGCTAAATTTTATTATAGAATTGACTATAAAACAAAAATGAATGGATTTTCAGAGGTCAGGAAATATTGCACGTGCTAGAATTTCTCTAAATTCTATTATAGAATTGACTATAAAACCAAAATGAATGGATTCTCAGAGGTCAGGAAACCTTGCACGTGCTAGAATTTCTTTAAAGTTTATTATAGGATTGACTATAAAACAAAAATGAATGGATTGTCAGACGTCAGAAAATCTTGCAAGTACTAGAATTTCTCTTGAGTTTATTATAGAAATTAACTGTAAAATAAAAAGAAAACTTATGAATTGTCAGTGGCTTGAAATTCTTAAAAATAATCGAATTTCTAATTTTTTTATTATAGTTATTTACTGTAAAACAAAAATGAATGTATCGTCATTGGTCTGAATTTCTTGCAAGTGATTCTAACACAACAGAGGGTGTCACATAATCCTCTTACCCAATTTAATATTGCTTTTTTTTTTTTCGTTTGATAATCCTTTTAAAATACAGGTAATATTCGGATCTCATGCTTTCTGTATCGATTGATTCAGCACGGTGGATTTCACCTGACCTATTTTTCTATATAGATGCTCATTGTTATGTGCACATATTCCTATGTTGCATGCTAGTATCCTTACCCTCTCGAATTCAAATTTATATAGCTGCAGAAGCTGCTCACACACACACATACACAAAACACATACATACACAAAACACACATATATACACGCGTATACACCTGAATAGGTACATAATTCCGAAAGATAAACGGAATATTAACAAACAGAAACAAAGCAAAGAGTGATGAAATGTAATTTAATATCAATCCTTCAATATGGAAGTGAATGCCGGGACAACTTCCTGAAAGAAGAACAACCAACTTGAGATGTGGTTCTACAGAAAGAGTCTGAGAATCCCATGGAGGAACATGTGAATAACAAAGAAATTTGAACGAATAGGGAAACTATAAACTACATTATACTTCGAATCAGAAAGAGACAGTTGAAGATAATGCGACACATAATGAAGGATGGGGACTTTGACACCCACAGGTCACAGACAGAGCGAAACAGCCGGTGTAAACGGATGGCAGAACAGTGAATCGGACTAAAATTAATTGTTGTGGATTCCGGGATGAAATCGGGTACCAATAAATAACAAACGCTAAGAAGGAATATAGGAAAATAAATGTATTAATGTAATAATACAAACAGGTAATGCAAGTTAGTAGTTCCAGGAATGCAGGTTAGTAGCAAAATATAAATACAGTCCTTGGTATCGATGTATCACTGTATGACTTCTTACTGAGCCTACGCGCATGCTCACTGTGACTCTTGCTCTTTACGTTCGTCATGGTTTGTTCTCGTTCGTCTTTCTTTGTCGTTCTTCGCCCGGGTATTCACTAGCAGTAGTATATGTATACTCTGGGTGAGTCCATTTGTGGAAAAAGGGGAGAACCCCGCAACATTAATTAAACTATAATTGCTTAGAGCTAAAAAAGAGAGAAGGTTGCGGAGAGTCATGATCGTCAGCGTCCTGAAAGTATGAGATAAAAGATAAAAACGTCCATGTCAGAATTGGGAGTGAGATGGAACAAGCATTGCCTAGAGTTACAAATAAATGGAAGTAGTAGAGAGCCATGATCGTCCACTTCCTGAAAATATAAGGTAAGTAAAGAAGATAACATAATAAACACGATCACGAGAAAAAGAATCGATTTGGATTCCCACAAAGAATCTTGAGAAAACATTCAATGACACGCCAGCCTTTGAACGGACGTATTTCTCGATGTAAGAAAAATAATAAGGTATCTTTAAATTGAAATTAAAATATATTTTAATTTCAATTTAAAGTTGCAAGAAAAACAATAAGGCAACTTTAAATTGAAATTAAAATATATTTTAATTTCAATTTAAAGTTACCTTATTATTTTTCTTACATCGAGAAATACGTCCGTTCAAAGGCTGGCGTGTCATTGAATGTTTTCTCAAGATTCTAGTGGTCTGTCGGCAGTTCCACAGTAGGACCCCCAAAACTGCATCACAGACTGAATAAACGACAGAAAATATTCTTATAGTTTCTTTACCCGCTTTATTTCATAGTGATAATCAACATTACTTGGGGGAAAGCTATAGAGAGAATATATGTCAACAGGTCTGCTAGATACCAATCATCTCAACATAGTGACATCTCCCTCTCTCTCCCTCTCTCCCTCTGTGTGTGTGTGTGTGCGTGTGTGTGTGCTGTTGCACCAAAAAATCCTAGAATGGAAGCCATCTTCATTTTGCTATTGGTGACAGAGCACGGACGGTTTTGGCACGCTCTTCTGTCTTATATTAAAATTACACAAAAACAAAAACTCACTTTCAGAATTCCACGTCTGGGGGTTTCCAAACATCTGCCTAGTGCTGCCCACCAAAATACTGTAGTGTTTGTTATAGTTGTCTAGACTACGCCTTCTATAATACTAGCCATTATTCTGTTATATCCTCCTAGACGACGTGGAGACATCAGGCAAATTATATGTGGTTCTACAGAAGGATGCTGAGAATAAAAAGAACTAAACTTGTGAGCTATGACGAACTTTTAAAGAAAAGGGAAATAAAAAGGAACTGTCTATTTAAAATGAGTAAGAGACAGCTGAAATTTCTAGGGAACATAATGAAGAAAGAGAGCTTGGAAAATCTGATACTCACAGGACTTATTGAAGGCCAAAAAGAACAGGGATAAACAAAGGATAATTAACCTAGTGGGTCTTGAGTAAATGGATGGTGGAACAAGGTTTAAGAGAAATAACAAAAAGACAACAGTTATTAAGAGCTAAAAGGCATGAAAAAATGGGGAGTCATAATTGCCTACGTCCTGAAGGGACACGGCGCTTAAAGAAAAAGAAAAATAACAAAAAAGAGCGAGTGAATGCAGAAGTGTGGACCGTTAACATATTGATTATGTTATTATTGTCTCTTAGAGTTGCGTGTGCTTTTAGTCTAAGAGGAAAATTTGATATTTTTTTTACCGTAAGGTTCACTTGTACAAGGCCAGGAGCCACTCGAATTAGAGATTACATTAAGAGGTAGCTTATATGGATAGGAGCGGATGATAACGTTAACTCTAGATTTAAACAGGTTAAGATTTTAGACATCGTGGAAATAAGCTCTTGAGAGTCTGTTCCACGGGACGGTGCTTCGCCGGAAAAAACTGTTTGAGTGGAACTTACTTCACGTCAATGGAATACGGAGGGAATGTGGGTGATTTGCTTCTATGTAAGTGGCATGGCGGGCCCTAGCTGTGGAAGCTAGACCTGGCTGAACCAAGGAATGTTGTTCGACTGAGAACTTTTAATGGAATTAGCGATAGAGTAGTGAGAGACTCGCAACATCCTGCCCGTGAGAGAGAGGTCGAAAAGTTGGAAAATGTTTTTCTCTAACAAGGATTTGGAGACGGTTTTGAAATATGCCGGACTTGGAAAGGGAGGACTGGGAAGCTCCTGGCCTAATATGGCAGCAACGGTACTCCATTTTCGGCCAATTCTGGCTCTCGTAAATGCAGAAGATAGCATGAGGAGTCAGGTATTAAAAACAAGAACAGAGGTAACCAGCCCATTATCTACCTACCGAGTTTGTGTTTGTAGAACTGGAATTAGGAGAAAAAGACATAACTTACTAATAGCTAAAAAAAAAAATAAAAAAAAAAATAGGGTGTGTAGAGAGCCATGATCGCCCACGTCCTAAAGGGAAACGCCAGTTAGAAAAAAAAAGACGTCATTCTTGTAGCATCTGCATTTTTTCTCCTAAAACTTGTGTCCTAAACGATTTGCCAAAACACGAACAAATTCAATGACACTTCTAAGATTTTCTGAACAGTGTGTTAATGATGGCGGAGGATTTTCTTTTATCAGCCAACCTAATATCGCGAATCCGTTTACCATTAAACTTGGCAATAAGTCTTCTTTGACTTTCTGTCTATTTTGTTGTGTTTCTTTCTTTTTGTATTTTTTTTTTTTTTTCTCTGAACGGGGTCACAGTAGACGCAACCAATTTCCACAGATCGATATCCCATCAATACATCTATCAATATTTCAGTGACTCTTACCGTCTTTCCAACGTAGATCTTTCGGTAGACGTGAAATATATTCTTTGGTTTAACACCTCATTAGGTTGAATTCAGTTGGAAATACAATTTTTCTTCGGTGTCATTTTCCAAAATATAAGACGTGTAGTAAAGAGACAAAAAATCGCTGTTAGATGGAAGGGAATGAAAAAAATTAAAAAACCCAATTGGCTAAAGAGAAGAGAAGAAATTAGAAAGACGGAAGGAGAAAGAAAATGGAAAAAATAAGATAAGGGAAGGTAAAGGAAAGAGTAGTAAAGACGTTTTGTTTCTTTGTTTGAAAGAGAGAGAGTGAATGAAGGAATGAAAGGAAGAAAGAAAGAAAGAAAGAAAGAAAGAGTACAAGAAGGAAAGAAAGTAGACAGAGTGAGTAAAAGAAAGAAAGTAGAAAGAGTGAGTGAAAGAAAGAAAGAAATAAACAAAAAGTGAGTGAAAGAAAGAAAGATGGAAAGATGGAAAGAAAGAATGGATGAAAGAGCGAAAGAAAGAGAGAGTGAAGGAGTGAAAGAAAGAATGAGTGAAATAAAGAAAGAAAGAAAGGAAGAGTGAGTGAGTGAATGAATGAAAGAAAGGAAGGAATAAATAAAGGAAGAGTAAGTGAATGAAAGAAAGAAAGAAAGAAAAAAGAAACATGAAAGAAAGAAGGGAAAGAAGGAAGAGTGAGTGAGTGAAAGAAAGAAAGAAAAAAGGAAAGAAAAAAGAGAGCGTGAAAGAAAGAAAGTGTAAGTGAAATAAACAAAGTGCGAGTGTAAGAAAGACAGAATGAGTGAGTTGAAGAAAAAAGAAAGAAAGAAAGAAAGAAATAAAGAGTGAGTAAAAGAAAGAAAGAAAGTAGAAAGAGTGAAAGAAAGAAATAATGGATGAAAGGGTAACAGAAGTAAATAATAAGTGAAAGAAAGAAAGAATGAGTGAAAGAAAGAAAGTGTGTAAAAGATAGAAAGAAGGGAAGGGTGAGTGAATGAATGAAAGGAAGAAGGCATGAAAGAAAGAAAGAAAGAAAGAAAGAAAGAAAGAAAGAAAGAAAGAAGGGCAGGATGAGTGAATGAAAGAAAGGAAGACATATCAAGTGAAAGAAAGAAAGAAAGAAAGAAAGAAAGAAAGGAGGGCAGGATGAGTGAATTAAAGAAAGGAAGACATATCAAGTGAAAGAAAGAAAGAAAGAAAAAGAAAGAAAGAAAGAAAGAAAGAAAGAAAGAAGGGCAGGATGAGTGAATGAAAGAAAGGAAGACATATCAAGTGAAAGAAAGAAAGAAAGAAAGAAAGAAAGAATGAGTGAGAGAAAGAAAGAAAGAAAGAAGGGCAGGATGAGTGAATGAAAGAAAGGAAGACATATCAAGTGAAAGAAAGAAAGAAAGAAAGAAAGAAAGAAAGAAAGAAAGAAAGAAAGAAGGGCAGGATGAGTGAATGAAAGAAAGGAAGACATATCAAGTGAAAGAAAGAAAGAAAGAAAGAAAGAAAGAAAGAAAGAAAGAAGGGCAGGATGAGTGAATGAAAGAAAGGAAGACATATCAAGTGAAAGAAAGAAAGAAAGAAAGAAAGAAAGAAAGAAAGAAAGAAAGAAAGAAAGAAGGGCAGGATGAGTGAATGAAAGAAAGGAAGACATATCAAGTGAAAGAAAGAAAGAAAGAAAGAAAGAAAGAAAGAAAGAATGAGTGAAAGAAAGAAAGAAAGAAAGAAGGGCAGGATGAGGAATGAAAGAAAGGAAGACATATCAAGTGAAAAAGAAAGAAAGAAAAGAAAGAAAGAAAGAAAGAAGGGCAGGATGAGGAATGAAAGAAAGGAAGACATATCAAGTGAAAGAAAGAAAGAAAAGAAAAGAAAGAAAGAAAGAAAGAAAGAAAAAAGAAAGAAAGAAAGAAAGAAGAAAGAAAGGAGGGAGTGAATGAAAGAAAGGAAGACATATCAAGTGAAAGAAAGAAAGAAAGAAAGAAAGAAAGAAAGAAAAGAAAGAAAGAAAGAAAGAAAGAAAGAAAGAAAGAAAAGGGCAGGATGAGGAATGAAAGAAAGGAAGACATATCAAGTGAAAGAAAGAAAGAAAGAAAGAAAGAAAGAAAAAGAAAGAAAAAGAAAGAAGGGCAGGATGAGTGAATGAAAGAAAGGAAGACATATCAAGTGAAAGAAAGAAAGAAAGAAAGAAAGAAAGAAAGAATGAGTGAAAGAAAGAAAGAAAGAAAGAAGGGCAGGATGAGTGAATGAAAGAAAGGAAGACATATCAAGTGAAAGAAAGAAAGAAAGAAAGAAAGAAAGAAAGAAAGAAAGAAAGAAGGGCAGGATGAGTGAATGAAAGAAAGGAAGACATATCAAGTGAAAGAAAGAAAGAAAGAAAGAAAGAAAGAAAGAAAGTAAGAAAGAAAGAAAGAAAGCATAGATTTATTTTATAAGAACATGGAAAAGTGATACTGGTCAACAGAAAGACAACACAAAGAAACGTCAGATAAAAAATATTCCACACCAAAACTGTTCGAAGCCGATAGAAATTTCTATAGAAATCAGCTAATGCTGTGCGCATTGTAGAATTGATACGGTATTATTAATTTAGAATTTTTAAAATGCAGTGAATCACTAAATGCACATTTATACGTCCAGCAGCTGCAACATGTCCATAGAAGTTTGGACGCATAGCGCCCTACGCTTGTCAGTAAGAAAAAATATTATTCTCCTTCATGATAGCGCAAAACGGCATAGCGAGGTTAACACAGGAAAAGAATTGAATCTGTTCAACCCAACATATTCACCCGGCATTGTAGCAACTTATTGTCTTTTTTATAATTTCAAAAGGCTTTAACGATAATGCTTTACGTGGTCAGCTAGGCAATCTCTGTTGAAAACGCCTGTTCAGGTAAATTTATGTTTCTTTAACACACATACAGCCCACGCGCGATTTATATTACAACTATCATGTGCGGGCCGTAGTTCCAATTTCTGGGAGGGAGCGCATAATTCAATGATCAAACGCTCGGTCACGATGACTTGTAACTTTATGCTAGAACAACCGTCAACGGCTTCTGAACAGACCTGTTTCCCAAATTTTCACCCGTCCTGTGTATGACGATAAACTACATCAGCGTCCTGGGTAAGACGATAAACAAGGCGGATTTGAGGAGCGTCGAATCACCTTTTAATTTGCTGGTGCTCCAAGGCACCCCCTGACCCGGGGTGGTATCACCAGTTAAGGTTCTATCTAAGGGCAAATAGTTAACCCCCAAACTGGGATCAAGATACTATGAAAGTGTTAAAATACGTTTTAATACCAGAAATACTTTGTAAAAAACTTATTACCAGAAAAAAAAGCTATACATTTTTTGAAAAAAATATTACCAGCATTACATTTTTGGAAAAAAAATATATTACCAGCAATAAACATTTTGTAAGCACTAAATAACCCATTGAAATTGATATGCAGTGAAAAAAAAAATACACCACACCACACCAAACCAAACCAGACCAAACCAAACCAAACCAGACCAAACCAAACCAAACCAAACCAGAATCAAGTTTTACTCACAAGTCTTGGGTCAAACCGTTGTATGATTTTCAATATGCTTTAATGGGGAAAAGCTTCATTAATGTAATCCCGATTCAAGACTTCGCTGAAATCGGCGGAATTTTATTCCAAACGTCTGGAAGATCTGCCCGATATCTGGTAACAATTAATTAAAGATAAAGGTGAATATATAGATTGAATAAAATGCCATTGTACTTTATTATTTGAAGAATAAATTGGATGAGAGAAACGGAAATGAATTATGTCTTAATTTGATAAAAGACGCTTTTTTTATCTTTTCTCACACAGCAATTTTCAGATCGCTTTTCCAATTATCTTACGACTGATTTATGATGAAAAATGAGGTTCTACCGAGAACTGAACTCCTATCCTATACCTTTGTAGCCCGTCTGATGCCGGATTCTAGTTCAAATCATGTCGATCGGTACTTGGGCACTTTGATGTGCTGAAATAGTTAACAAATTTGTCTAGCTAGAACAATTACGAATAAGTAGTGAGTTCGATCCTCATTGGGTGTCGTGTACTTTCTATTTTCTAATGAATTATTACGGGAAATAATGTTTATAAAATAATCTACTCTTTTTGTTCCAGATGACTACAATCAATGGCAATGTGCTGTAGACATTATTATTATTAGTAGTAGTAGTAGTAGCAACAGTAGTACTAGTACTTTTAACCCCAGAAAATTTCCCAGTTTTCCTATTTTACATTTTGAGATGAATCTTAATTCTTCCTTTAATAATTGAATAAGCTCATGACAAGTTCTACGACAATGAAATAGCCCCCCCCATTGCATCGTTAAATATTCGGGCTTAACAACTTTAACGAAAATATTGCGATAACAAGCATAAGTATGAATGTTGGTCGTTATTTTAAGAAGTAAGAGGGTACAAATGAAAAGATAGGAAATTGACAACTTTTTCCATGGCATTGAAATAGATGTTAGACACTTCTATCTTCGCTTCTTGCTTTCATTTTCTCACTGAAACCAAGTAGCGTCACTGATGCCTTTTTGTTTTCTCATGCGATCAAAACGGAATAGTCCATTATTTATGGGGTATTAGCAGGAGACGTCAAACACTTTTATATTTCTTTCTTACTTTCTTCCATTGAAACCAAGTAGCGTCTCTAATAAGTATTTTGCATTTCCACGCGTTCAAAGCGGAATAGTACATTATTTACGAGGTATGACGATAAACAAAATCCGCGTCCTGCGTAAGACGATAAACAAGGCCTCTGATCAAGAGGATTCGAGGAGCGTGGAACCAGCTCTTAATTGCTGGTTTTCCCAGGTCTACTCTGACCCGTGATGGTCGCACCAGTTAGGGTCCCAGCTATGGGCAAATAGTTAACCCCCAAACTGGGGTCAAAATACTATTAAAGTGTAAAAATACGTTTTAATACCAGTACCAGCAATACTTAAAAAAAAAAAAAATACAAACAGCTATACATTTTTTGAAAAAAAATAATACCAGGATTACATTTTGGGAAAAAAAATATTACCAGCAATGAAAATTTTGTAGGCACTAAATAACCCATTGAAGTTGATATGCCGTAAAACAAACCAAACCACACCAGACAAAACCAAACCAAACCAAGTTTTACTCACAAGGCTTGGGTCAAACCGTTGTATGATTTTCTAAATGCTTTAATGGGGAAAAGCTTCTTTAATGTAAACCCGATTAAAGACATCGTTGAAATCCTTTTTGCGTCAAAACCTGCGGAATTTTATTCAAAACGAATCGAAGATCTGCCTGATAATTGACAACAATTAATTGAAGATAAAGGTGAATATATATACGAACTAAAGGAAAGTAAGGGTAATTATAATAGCATTCGTTTCTTTCTTCTTCTTCTTCTTCTTCTTCTTCTTATTATTATTATTATTATTATTATTATTATTATTATTCATATTTCGTGCCACAGACAAACTACGTTTCGCTTGAATAGTTCTCAATGATCTTCTTCAGTCAGGTCAGCTTTTGTGCTCCTTTCTATAAGCTCTCATTTACCTCTTATTTGTCTATCCACTTTTAATTCTACAGTGTTTTTAGGACATCCTCTCGTACTATTGGTCCTTATTTTATTAACTGGTCTTACTGTTTCTACTAAAGCTGTATACTCTTGACTAACCTCATTAAGATTTCAATTACATGATGAGGAAATTGAATATAGAATAGGCTGAGCTTGACGTCGTTTTATTCAACATTGCAAGATGCTACAAAACCGAAACATTAAACTAAGATTTCAAGACATGTTCTAAAATAGCCTCTCAAGGTTGGCACCGAATTAGTTTGGAAATATCTAAACCGTTAATTATATTCAACTGCTTTCTCAGATCAATGATTAAAGATGTCTGCGAGCCAATTATGAAACATACTTCACCAAATCTTGCGGAGTGCAGTTACAGAATTTCAAAGAAAAAACTTTACCATCACTTGTAGACTTTCAAAACCTGCAACAACTAAAATGGATAGACATGCAACTCGAAGAGAACATAATGACATAATTTTTATTTCTTATCTTATATATTTATTCAATTTTATTTTAATTGGTGTTTTATTAATGTAGTAAAAATTTGTTTATATCGATTATTTAATAGTTTTGTTTTGGTTCGGGAAGATAAATCTATTTATTCAATTTTGAGGTTGATTGTTGTAGTTTGTTCGTACTATTATTTTGGCGGGAACAGTTTTTAAATTGCTAATTAATTCATTTATTTACTTGCATTGATTATCTTTATTTGTTTTTTCTAACGATTCCACATTTCTTCTTTTTCTTCTCTTCCTCCTTCCTCTTCTTCTTCTCTTCCTCCTTCCTCTTCTTCTTCTCCTCCTCCTTCTTCTCTTCTTTCTCTTTTTCCTCCTCCTCCTTCTTCTTTTCTCTACTTTCTTTTTCTTGTTCTTTTCCTTCATTTTCATCTCCTCCTCCTCCTTCTCCTCCTCCTTCCTCTTCTTTTCCTCCTCTTTCTTCTCTTCCTCCTTCTTCTTTTCTCCTCTTTCTTCTTCTTGTTCTTTTCCTTCATTTTCATCTCCTCCTTCATTTTCATCTCCTCCTTCATTTTCATCTCCTCCTCCTTCTTCTCCTCCTCCTCCTTC